AAAATCCTAGAGTTCTTTTAAATGACACTTGCCAGTTCGATATTCAGAGAGTGGGTAATACCTTTTCTCTGGATTAATTAATATGAGATACACATTTATTAACAATTAAAATCCAATCAGCAACATAATACTCTTAAAACTGTTCTGTAAATCACAAAACAAATTTCCAAATGGAAGAACTAGAAGTCTGCCCATGCAAGGTAACACTGCTAAAAACAGCCCATCCTGCTCCTCAAAAAAAAAAAAAAAAGAGAAGTTAACTGCAGCAATATCTATTTCTCACCTATAATGTGAATTACGTGGAACAAAACCCCACAGCACAGTGACCAACAGAAAAGCCACAAGTAAGTTGAATTTCAGCCAAATACTACCTTACTCTGTGTTTTTGGGAAAGAGAACAAACTGTGTTAACTATGAGAGTAATAAAAGGCTCTCACCACTTTGGCTCATTCCCTGTAACATAATCCTCTCATTATTAACAGTAATCATATCTGCAACTGATTTCTACCTACAGTGTTGCTAGCAGCATTTCAAATCACCCCATCCTTTGAAAAACAAGAGTAAATGAGATCACCTGCAATGCTATGGAGACTGAACTGTCATTTCCCAAATAAAGTGATGGGTTAGAGCAAGAGCTGACACAAAAAAAAGGAAGAAAATAAAAGACAGACTTACACAAACCAAAGATTTCCAATTCCGGAACACTAAGTTGCCAAAGTCATCTTTCCTCCTCATTCTCTCATCTGTACAGTGTCAGATCCTCAGAAATGTGCCTACAAGTCTGCTATTAGGACTTGACATCAGCAAATTAATAGTCTATTTTGGTCTTTTAAAACAGACATGTAAAGTCTGTTTTCCTGTACAAGTATATAGACATGCACAAAGCCCAGGCTGATTTTCCTGTTAAGAAATCAGAGCCCAGCCCAGCCAAACTTCTCATTATTACACAAGGCAGGGTGCCAGGGCTTGAAAATGTGGTAGCAACTACTTAGAGACTGTAGCAATCCTGAAACTAAAGAAAATAGGAAAATGCAATACACCCTTTTATCTAGAAATATGGTACAGTTAAGGCAAGAATGGAGCCAAAACACTTGCATTCAGTTTCTTGAGAAAACAGAGATTTGGGTGCAGAACACACAGCTAACCTCAAAAGCACTCCTGGGATTCTCAAAGTCAGCTGAGAACACTGGAGAATGCTCCTGCTCCGAGGTATCCATGTGCTGTGGGTACCAACATCAGTTCAGAAGTGCTGAATTCAAGATGACTTACAGGAGGAATCCTAGCTGCCCACAACACTGCAGGAACTTTTGGGAGTGGGGACTAGGACTATAAAACAATCTAATCGGGTCCCCTTCTTGTACCCCAACCTACAACTTTTGTACACACCGATATTCCTTCCTCTATTCCTAACACTTTGTCTCCAGCTTTAAAGAGAAAGTCTGGCCTCAGACTTACCAGAAGGACCTGTCCACCCCTGGTTTATATTACATCTTACATATTATCTATCTCTCTTACCTTCCAACACCAGAGGGAGTTGTTCTTTTCAGCCTTCTGCTCTGTCCCTATAGTTTTGGAGCAGTCTATGGACCTGTTCTGGTAAACACTTGTCCAAGATCCATGTGTTTTCTTTAAGAATGTGATCGAGGAGTAGGGAAAAAAAACGAAAGTATGTAGTGGTCCTGGCAGATCTGGGATAGTGGTTGGACTTGATGATTTTAAAGGTCTCTTCCAACCTTCTAGGATTCTATGACAAGCACACATAAAAACAAAGACACCCCTAACATCTTACACTGAAACCATCTATCTGATAACATCCACTGGCTGAACCTTCCCCAACACCTACAGGGTTTGGCACCCACTCCCCGATAACCAGCCCTAGCTACTTCGGGCTGGGGCTTCCCTCTCCTTACGCATGTCCACAGCACAACTCACTACTGAGTGACCCTAGTCAAGAGTTACCCTCTCACAGAAGGCCAGGATTCATAGAATCATAGAATAACTATGGTTGGAAAGGACCTTAAGATCATCCAGTTCCAACCCCCTGCCATGGGCAGGGACACCTCACACTTAAACCATGCCACCCAAGGCTCTGTCCAACCTGGCCTTGAACACTGCCAGGGATGGAGCATTCACAACCTCCCTGGGCAACCCATTCCAGTGCCTCACCACCCTTACAGTAAAGAACTTCTTCCTTATATCCAAGCTAAACTTCCCCTGTTTAAGTTTGTACCCGTTACCCCTTGTCCTATCACTACAGTCCCTAATGAAGAGTCCATCCCCAGCATCCCTATAGGCCCCCTTCAGATACTGGAAGACTGCTATGAGGTCTCCCCGCAGCCTGCTCTTCTCCAGACTGAACAGCCCCAACTTTCTCAGCCTATCTTCATATGGGAGATGCTCCAGTCCCCTGATCATCCTCATGGCCTCCTCTGGACTTGTTCCAACAGTTCCATGACCTTTTTATGTTGAGGACATCAGAACTGCACACAATACTCCAGGTGAGGTCTCACGAGAGCAGAGCAGAGGGGCAGGATCACCTCCTTCGACCTGCTGGTCACTCTCCTTTTGATGCAGCCCAGGATATGGTTGGCTTTCTGGGCTGCAAGTGAACAGTGAAGCTGGCTCATTTTCAGTTTCTCATTGACCAACACCCCCAAGTCCTTCTCCACAGGGCTGCTCTGAATCTCTTCTCTGCCTGACCTGTAGCTGTGCCTGGGATTGCTCCGACCCAGGTGTAGGACCTTGCACTTGGCATGGTTAAACTTCATGATGTTGGCATCAGCCCACCTCACAAGCGTGTCAAGGTCCCTCTGGATGGCATTCCTTCCCTCCAGTGTGTCAACCGAACCACACAGCTTGGTGTCATCGGCAAACCTGCTGAGGGTGCACTGGTTTTGTACTCACTGTAGTGCACAGTGACATAAGCAATGAAAACAAAACTAGTCTTGGCTCTCTTTGGGGGGTCTTGTCTGGATGGCTAGTTTTCTTTGAACACAACTTTTAACAGCTCTAGTTGCTTGTGCTTAATAGTTCTCACTTATACAGCACCCAAGAACTTAATTGTTTCATCATGCCTATGGAAGGTCTCCAAAGCCATGGGTCAGCAAACAATTTAAACTGCACAAGCTGACAAGACATTGAGAGAAGCTACCTCCACCTTTTCTGACTCCTCTTTTCCAGATCACTCCTCATCCCACGCCATCAAAAGCAGTTGTGCTGACCCACAGTGGACCCACCAGTGACAACTCTAACCTGGAGCAGGTTCTTGACGCAGCACATACATGAAAAGCTCTTCTTTGGGCAGTGGTATCACCTTGAAGTCTCTGAAACTACACGACTCTCTGACATTGAAATGTGTTCTTAATTGAACAAGTGGGTCTCCTTTGTGAGTTAACAAAAAAAAAAAAAAAATCTCAACACTATTTAACTTTTTCATTCAATAAAATTGTGCTGCAGTTTAACCCAAACACAGCTAATGTGTTCTTAGTTTTTTTAAAAGGAACCGGACTGGCTGTTAGCAGACATGAAATACCTGGAGGTAACAGACATTTAGTTCCATTCAAGTTTTTAAGTCTTCTCTGTTAGATTCAGAATTAATTAGCAGTTCATGTCCATCTGTGGATTTAGAGTGTAACAGGGTTTGTGGGATTGTTCTCTTTTGTTTACTTGTTTTTACAATACATGTTTCTACAGGATTTGGCTGCTGCTGTGTCTTTGAATCAAACTGATCATTAAGCATCTTGATTTTAGAAATATATTGCTCAGATTATTTTTAATAAGTGATAGAAAAATATCAAATCCTTTCAATATAATAAATAAACCCATCAAATTCTTTCAATAACCGAAGTTCCACTGTGCACAGTTAAATCCACAGGTTCTCTCAGAAGAGGTGTAGCAAAACATGAATGGTGAGCAGTGCTGTAAAGTTTCTCTGACATGTCTACAATCACTTCAGTTTCTGATCACGATTCCTGTACCATGCAAATCTGGGGAACATTCTCACACAAACATTTAATGCATATGAACTCATATAGAGAAAAAAGAATATTGCAGCTATCTGAATCCTCACTTTAAATATACAAATTTTTCTCAAGAAACAATTTAAGGCCAATTAGGAAAGTGCCACATGACCGTGTAAGAAATACAGGGATCAAATTATGCAAAAACTTCCTTATACAATGAAGAAAAATGCATCTGTCCTGAGCACAATGATTTTTTCCCCATTGCACGTATATTTACTAGAACATAGAAGTTACTGACAAGAACTCCAGATACAAACCAGCACTAAATGCTAACCTAACTTTGTCCTTAAATCCTCACTTTTTTATGTTTAATGAAGATTAGTGACAGCATCTTTAGACTAAAGTGTGAAACATGACTGGGAGTAAGACAAAGATAGAAAGGTCATGCCTCATTTTATATGCTGTCAATTAGAAAAAGTAACTAATTTTAACCTAACAGTTTATAAAAGTGCCATCCTGACATATACTCTGTTCTCATGTATTTGAGAATTTTGTAATATGTGTGAATGGAGTTTAAATACCAAGCTTCCTCAGGCCTCTTAAAGGAAAACACAACCTTTTTTCCTCCTTTAGTCTGGCAAAAGCTTCATCACTCAAAATGTAATCTCCCATTCCATTTTTTATCCTAGCTAGAATTCGCTGGTTTAGTCGGTCGGCATTGTCCCTTAGTTCCAAGTAGGAATTTACTACCTCTGAAGTCAGAGAGCATCCTAGGAGTTAACAGGTCTGTGCTGTATAATAACAGCACAAGTAACTTATTTCTTATGAAAATAAATATCTACACACATGAAATACAGCAAATTAACAGAGAATACCTGATAATTTAAATCACCCAGCGTAATTTATACTAAGTTCTCCTAGAATGAACTCTGATACTTCTCCACATGCTCTTTTTCAGAATTAAAACTTTGCCAGCACTGTTCATGTTGGCCAGAACGTTACCAACCTTAAAGTAATTGAATAAATGAGAACACTTACCAGCAGCAACTACAGCTGGAGGCGGCGAACCTGCCTCGCCACCACTTGTTTGGCTCATGGATGCTACAGATGTTTCTCTGGAAGGTGGTAACTGCAGCTCCTTTGGGAGAAGGTCATAGACAGATTCTGTTGAACAAAAAGGATTTAATCAAAATGTTATTCATGTTCTGCACAGGAAAAGAAATAACATTTTTGCCTAAGATAGGAACAATAACCCAGCCTTTGAAAAGGTCACATTAAGCACTTGGAAATCTCAACATCATGGAATAAAGTTATGTCAGAAAACAAACCAACCACAAAAATGTTAAGATGCACATTCTCAAGACTGAAACAAAAGGACGCGATCTTGTTCAAACAAAGAAATAATTCATGAACTTCCACAGAAACAGCCCTCATTTAGAATGAAGGGGTTGACAGCATGTACATGAGAATCAAAGACAAACCCATTCTCAGAGCAAGCTGTGCAACTTCCAAAGAAAGAGAGTAATTCAGCACCATCATCCACAGAACACCCTATGCTCTTCCCATGTATTAAGTGCCAATTCTTGTTAGGTAAGATCCTTCACTTTCATTTATCTGCAACTTTTCTTTTTCATAGAATCACAGAATAGTTAGGGTTGGAAAGGACCTTAAGATCATCCAGTTCCAACTCCCCTGCCACGGGCAGGGACACCCCACACTAAACCATATCACCCAAGGCTTTGTCCAACCTGGCCTTGAACACTGCCAGGGATGGAGCATTCACAGCTTCCCTGGACAACCCATTCCAGTGCCTCACCACCCTTACAGTAAAGAATTTCCTCCTTATACCCAATCTAACTTCCCCTGTTTAAGTTCGAACCCGTTACCCCTTGCTCTATCACTACAGTCCCTAATGAAGAGTCCCTCCCCAGCACCCTTGTAGGCCCCCTTCAGATACTGGAAGGCTGCTCTGAGGTCTCCATGCAGCCTTCTCTTCTCCAGGCTGAACAGCCCCAAGTTTCTCAACCTGTCTTCATACGGGAGGTGCTCCAGTCCCCTGAGTCCCCTGAAGTTTTGCTTCAAAATCCCTGCAACCTCACACAGATGTTCCACAGAAAAGTGTCTCCATCAACAAAATGGCTCATCCCAGTCCATTTTATAGAGAAAGCCCCATGATACAGGTCTGGCAGATTCCAGACAGTAGTAGAACCTCTAAGACATTTTTTGTGATTTCTGTTGTGAAATTATCTCAGGATCAGAGTGATCCAAACAGCTGCACTCAGGCATGAGCACATAGCTATGTGTGCCTTTTCCACTGGATACATCAAAGATGCCCTGTTTCAAACCCCCAATCCAGGGATGTAAATAACCTTGAACATCGACTCATAGGATGGTCTGGGTTATAAGGGACCTTAAAGATCAAACAGTTCAAACCCCCTTGCTATGGGCAGGGACAGCTATAAATGAAGGGCTATAAACTGAATATAGCTATAAACAGCTATAGATGAAGAGCTATAAACTGGATCAGCTATTACACGCCACAAAACTTTACAAAATTCATTTCTATGTGTTTAGGTGCCTGAGAGACATATGGAAAAATCAGTGTGTACTTTTAATGGGGTTTCTTCCCTCCTATGAAGCAACAATTATACTCGGTCCTAAGAAAAATAAATTTGTGCAGCAGTTCTGTAAAAATTAGAATTCCAGAGATGTTCATCAAAGAGCTTCACCTGTATCAGACCCATAAAAAATTAAACATATTCTAGACGAATGCACAGGTTTATACACACCCAGCAAAATATAACTGTATTAAAACCACAACCCATACCAAATGCTGGCTATGCAGCAAACCAGAACAGTTACTGTACTGGGTAAGAGTGCAAACTCTCCCACTGGCAACTGGTGGAGCATAAAAAGAGCCCAAAAAAACATAATGCTGTTTGCAGGATACTACTTGTCTGTTACGCACATCACAAGCGGCTACCGGAATGGCTGTGAACCGGTTTAAAAGTGGTTGAGTAAAGGTATGGTCACAATGACGCTTCTCATTTTATACTACATTTACTTTTCTCAAAAAAGGTTGGTTCTTTTTTAGTGTCAATATACTGTATTTTACTAAGCAGCACTGGGTACTGTCTGTGTGTATGAGAACCTTCACAGTTTAAATACATTCTAAATTAGAGCTATATTAAAGGTGAATTTTAACTTCATACATTACAATTTTTACTTAAGTTGCATGCACACACAGACTTGAATCTGATTCAAAAAATAAAACCCAAACTAAACTGCATTTCAAACTGCTACTAGTCAAATAGCGTCTCTTTATGTCCACAGTGGAGGAAGAAAAGAGGCTCCAAAGGCACAATTTGTTAGTTTTAAGATGAGAATGGTGTGCAAAAAGTACAAGGAAAAAATCCCTTAACTAAATAATCAAAAAGAAGTTATACTGCTATTTGAACAAGAATGTCTGAGGAAGGTGAAGGAAGCATAGAATTTCTTTTCATTGTATTGAATATACTTCAGCCAATGAGCCACAAGTGCTGAATTCATGGGAGAGATGCAATAGGTGCAGCAGGAATAAGCACAACACTGAAAGATCAGCTGAGATCAACTGTTACCCAACTGTGCCGTAGTTAAAAAAAAACATGAAAATCTACCAGCCAAGTTCTGGAGGGACCATCCACTGAAGAAGAGGAGGGAGTCTGTGCACCATCTGGCTTGCAAAAAGGAACACAGTTGTTCTGATAACATTTAAGAGTCTATGCAGCTGTATCTGAAACTTTAAGGGCCAGAAATTTTAAGCCAAAAAGCCCAGTTACTACTTCAAACAGTCACTGTTAGGCAGTTTCAGCACTGTAAGGACTGTACAATTTATCAACAGGTGTCACTGTAAATTCAAATCTGGTTTAATAGATGGAATCACTAGAGTGGGGACCCTGCCTCTTCATCAGGGATCATAGTGATAAGACAATAGGTAATGGTTCAAACTTAGGGAAAGTTCAGGGTGTGTATAACAAAGAAGTTCTTTACTGTGAGGGTGGTGAGGCACTGGAATGGGTTGTCCAAGGAAGCAGTAAATGCTCCATCCCTGGCAGTGTTAAAGGCCAGGTTGGACAGAGCCTTGGAATACAAGGCCCAGTGTGAGGTGTCCCTGCCCATGGCAGCAGGTGTGCAACTAGATGAAGTTAAGGTCCTTTCCAACCCTAGATATTCTATGATTCCATTACCATACTTTTCTGACTGTTACTGGGGATTTTCAGTCTCAGTCCTTTTTCTTTCATAAGCTGTGCAGCCAGCCCTGATGCACAAAGCCCAGGGAAGTTATATGAAAGAATGAAACGTGTCTGCACCTTGCTCAAAACAAGCCAGTGTGACTCACACTCCCAAACCACTCACATTCGGCAGCCCCTGAAGCACAGCCAGTGCTGCATATTTGCACATGTTCATTATTTGACATGCTGGATTATGAGAAAGCTTCTGCAAACCACAAAATCCCAAGCAGTTTCAGAGAAAACTTTTATTTATTTCCACATTGAATGGCTCCTGTAAGCTTGGCCGCTAGCCTCAATACGTCAAAAAATACTGCAAATAAAATGTGGCATTTGGAAACCATAAGATGTGTGTGGTCCTCTTTTCTCCTGAACTGCAAGTTTTCTTCAAGATGAGTATCTTAATTCAAGAGACTAAAGAATGGAAGGTTCAGATTTTGTCCCAGTAATAAAAAGCACAAATACGAGATGAAGAAAAACACAGTCATGACAAGAGAGGGTGCTTCCCTACTTGACATCCCTGCATCTTGAACTATAACTGCTCCTGCAGCCAGCAGTTCATACAATAGCTCCAGACAGCAAACCCTTGTAAATTAGCAGCAGCCTTTATTCTGGGTGGCACTGGTGCTACAGGTTAGTAAAATCCAGGCTTGCTGAGCCAGATAGATGCTCAGTGCCACCCAAGGTATCTGTCACAACCTCCCATATGGAAAATTATGCCCAGTTAGCTCTGTTGACAAAGAGTGATCTTAGCTCAAGGTGCAGCCTGCAACAAATTATTCCTGCTAAGCCATCTAAGAAACTCACACGCCTCACTGTAGTGATAGGACAAGGGGAATGGCTTTAACCTGCCCCAGGGGAGACTGAGAAGAACTCTTAGGCAGAAGCTCTTCCCTGTGAGGGTGCTGAGGCGCTGGCACAGGGTGCCCAGAGAAGCTGTGGCTGCCCCATCCCTGGCAGTGTTCAAGGCCAGGCTGGACACAGGGGCTTGGAGCAAGCTGCTCCAGTGGAAGGGGTCCCTGCCCGTTGCAGGGGTTGGAGCTGGATGAGCTTGAAGGTCCCTTCCAACCCAGACCAGTCTGGGATTCTGTGAACACATGGTTGAAGTTTAAGGTCAAATCCAAACTTTAAGGAAAAATATAAAAAAAAAAAAAATAAAAAAAACCCACACAAACTCCTGACTTTTCATGAGAACAGATGTAGCTTCATAGTCTAAAACACATCTTTAGTGCACTGGATTATTACAAACTATCCCTTCAACACTTCTCTGAAGAGTCTGAAATTGTTCGGGTATCTTTAAGAAAGCTCACTGCAATAAACCTGCTTTGCACACATCAGACTTCAAATGAAACTTTTGTGTTTCCACCTAAACACAGGCCAATGTTTACATATGCTGCTCTATAAATAGCATTAAAGCAAAAACTGACAAATTCCAGAAAGACTAGAGCTCTTGCAAGGAAACTAATTCTTCCCCAGAGGATACAGTTTCCCTCCACACCGGATACTGTATTTAAATAGCTAAAGCTCCTATTGATCAGCTCACCTCCATCACAATGTTCTACATGAGTGTGCACACAAGAACATTAAGTGTATGAAATTATCTGCCACAATTTTATGGTTACGTGGAAAACACTCACACACACACACAAAAAAAAAAAAAAAAGTAAATGCAGCATTGTATTTGAAGGCAAACAGAAAAATTCAGCATCATTACATTTTTCTACTTAATTAACAAGAAAAAAACATATGTAGACAAAATCCTGGTTTTAGCAGGTGTGTTTTTAGCACTGTTGAAGCAGCAACTGGAATTTCATTCACTAACAGCAAAAGGTGTCTTGCAACTTATTGCTCATTTCAAATCCTCTTGACAAATACATTATTTGATCTGAAGATTCT